CAAATAAATAAATAAAATCTTTAAAAAAAAAAAAAAGTTTTGTTGTTTTAGGGGCGCCTGGTGGCTCAGTTAGTTAAGTGTGTCCAACTCTTGATCTTTGCACAAGTCTTGATGTTAGGGTCATGAGTTCAGGCCCTGTGTTGGGCTCCACAATGGGTGTGGAGCCTACTTAAAAAAAAAAGTTTTATTGTTTTAGCTCTTTCATTTAGGTCTTTGATCTCTCTTAATTTTTGTATATACTTGAAGCAGGGGTCCAACTTCATTATTTTGCATGTGAATATATAGTTCAAGCACCATTTATTGAACAAACTATTCATTCCCCATTGGATAACCTTGGCACACTTGTTGAAAATCAATTCACCATAGATGTATGGGTTTAATTTTGTACTCTCAATTATATTCCATTGATGTAGGTCTATCTTTATGCCAGGAGCACATTTTTTTGATTACTGTAGCTTTGTAGTAAATTTTGAAATTAGGAAGTATGTTTCCTACAACTTTGTTCTTCTTTATCAATATTCGTTTGACTACTTGGGGTCCCTTATAATTCATATGAATTTTAGGATCGCCTTTTCCATTTCTGGGACGAGGGGAAAGACTGTTTATCTCCATTGTAATCTTTATTTTCTTCTTCCTGCCAGCTTTTGGTTTAGTTTGCTCTTGTTTCTAGTTCCTTAGGGTGAGACCTTATTGATTTGAGATCTTTTTTTTTCTTTAAGATTTATTTTTTTTATTTTGAGAGAGAGAGAGTGAGTGCGGCAGGTGGGGGCAGAAGGAGAGAGAATCCCAAGCAGACTGCGCTGATTGCAGAGCTCACGTGGGGCTCCATCCCATGACTCCAAGATCACAACCTGAGCCAAAACCAAGAGTTAGACACTTAACCAACTGTACCACCCAGACACCCCTGAGATCTTTTTTTTCTAAATTTTTTTTTTTTTAATTTATTTGAGAGAGAGCATGAGCAGGGGGAGGGGCAGAGAGAGAAGCAGACTCCCTGCTGACCAGAGAGCCCGACTTGGGGCTCCATCCCAGGACCCTGGGATCATGACCTGAGCCGAATGTAGACACTTAACCGACTGAGCCACCCAGGCACCTCAGTCTTCTTTTTTTAATGTAGGCATTTACAGCTATAAATTTCCCTCCGAGCATTGCTTTTGCTGCATGCCATAATTTTGGTATATTGTGTTTTCATTTTCATTTGTCTCAGAGTATTTTCTAATTTCTCTTTGATTTCTTCTTTAACCCATTGATTGTGTAAGAGTGTATGGTTTAATATTCATGTATTTGTTAATTCTCCAAATTTCCTTCTGTTATTTGTAATTTCATTCCAATTGTGGTTGGAGAAGATTGTATGATAACAGTCTTTAAAAATGTGTTGACTTGTTTTGTTACCTAATGTGTGGTCTATTCTGGAGAAAGCTCTGTGTTCACTTGAGAAGAATGTGGATTTTGCTGTTAATTGGGTGGCATATTCTTTATATATCAGTTAGTCTGTTTGGTTTATGGTGTTTTTCCAGTCCTCTGTTTCCTTATTGATAATCTCTCTAGATCTGTCTTTTATTGAAAATGGAATGTTGAAGTCTCCAACTGTTAGGAAACTGTGTATTTCCAATTCTATCAGTTTTTGCTTCATGTATTTTGGTTCTTTGTTGTTATGTGTATATGTTTGTATTTGTTATATGTTCTTTTTTTTAAAGATTTTATTTATTTATTTGGGGGGGCACGAGCAGGGGGAGGGGCAGAGGCAGAGGGAGAAGCAGACTCCCCGCTGAGCAGGGAGCCCAATGTGGGACTCGATCCCAGGACCCTGAGCCGACGGCAGATGCTTATCCAACTGAGCCACCCAAGTGCCCTTTGTTACATATTCTTGATGATTGACCCCTTATCAATATATAATGCCCTACTTTGTCACTTGTAACAGTTTTTATTTAAAATCTATTTTGTCTGATAGTACTATATACATACAACGTTCTCTTCTAGTTACTAATTGTATGGAATATCTTTTTCTATACCTTCACTTTCACTCTGTATGTGTCTGGATATAAAGTACCCTCTAATGGACAACAGATAGTGGATCTTTTTTTTTTTAAGATTTTATTTATTTATTTATTTATTTGTTCAGGGAGAGAGCTCAAGCAGGGGAAGAGGAAGAGGGAGAATCTCAGGCCAACTTCATACCAAGCACAGAGCCCGATGCAGGGCTCGATCTCATAACCCTGAGATCATGACCTGAGCCAAAATCAGGAGTGGGACACTCAACTGATTGAGCCACCCAGGCGCCCCGTAGTGGATTTTTTTTTATACATTTTGCCAATAATTTCCTTTTGATTAGAGAGTTTAATCCAGCTACATTTAAAGTAATTACTCATAAGATAGGATTTTTAGATTAAAAATCTATGCTGCTGCTATTATCATCTTCTCAGAACCCAGTGTTTTGTATTTTGAAATCCCTTTATATGTTATCTCTTTCACTCTCTGAGATGCATTTTGTTTCTAGAAATAGTTCTATTTTGTTCTTTTTCAGCTTTGCTTGGTTATTCTTTATAGCTTATGGCTGGCCACTCATACTTTTACTTTTGTCAAAGTTCTTCTATTTCTTTTTTTTTTTTTTTTAAAGATTTTATTTATTTATTTGAGACAGAGAGAATGAGAGAAAGCACTTGAGAGGGGGGAGGGTCAGAGGGAGAAGCAGACTCCCTGCCGAGCAGGGAGCCCGATGCGGGACTCGATCCCAGGACTCCAGGATCATGACCTGAGCCGAAGGCAGTCGCTTAACCAACTGAGCCACCCAGGCGCCCTCTTCTATTTCTTTAAACATATTAAACATAGTTATTTTATATTCTGTCTAATAATGTCAGTGTTTGAAGCTGGACTATTGTTTCTGCTGCTTCTTGCTCATGGTACCTTGTTTCCTTTTGTGCTTAGTGATTTTTGACTGAGCTGAACCATTTGCCTTGGAAATTGATGTTTGGGGATGTTTCGTGACCTGGGCTGAAGACGGTGCATGGACAATATATAGTAGCATTTGGGGTCCTTTTTTTCTTGTTTATTTTTAACATAGAAGACATTACATTATGCCTATTTATCTGAACATACTTTTTTTTTTCACCAAAATGCAATAGAATTTCACAATGCTGTCATTGAAATGGTTGTAATGAATTGCCCTTTGCCTTATTCTTTGGGAACTGTAGGTGTATCCTGAGTTTGAAGATCAGAGAGCTTGTCTGCCATCAGGAACTTTTCTTACTTGTTCCTCAGACAATACCATCCGCTTTTGGAATGTGGATAACAGCCCTGACTCTCACTGGCAGAAAAATATCTTCAGTAACGTGAGTGGCTTAATTGTGAACCATATTTTAGGAGGAACAGAGGCGTCCTTTAATCTAGGATATAGGGGCAAGAGAGAGTCTTGTGGACCTTGGTATTAAGCTTCACTGGGGGCAGGAACCAGGAAGCACTCTGTGTCTCCCTCTCTCTTGCTTCTCTCTTTTCCTTCTTTTTCTTTCTGAGGTAGCATGGCCTATCCTTCCTGCTTCTCTCTGCCAGTCAACTCCTGCTCTCTGGGTATGTGTCAACACAGCTACTCCGGGCAACCTGACACATTCAAAAGAAATGAAGTTCCCTAAGTCTTGAGTCAGAGCTCCCTGGAAGGACCAAACCAGGGAGGGGCTTCCCCTGTCTAGCTCGCTTCACACTGTGAAGTCGTGGGTGAGGGTGCTGGCAGGACCCAAAGGGAGCCGTGATGGGAGGGTAGGGAGAAAATACCTTGCTGAAGAAATGGTTGCTAATGCTAGGTCAGTGAGGGAGCGTCTCTTAGGAGCTGAGACGTGACTCATGCATTCATTTAACCTGCAGATGCTTATTAAGATCTCTGCTAGGTGCTGTGCTACCTGCTGGGGACACATCAATGCCTAAGACAGACCCTCCTCCTGCTCTTGTGGCTCCCACAGTCTAGTAAGGAGAGGCAGACAGGCAGTGAACCAGTAACTATACAAATTACAATATAATCATTTTTAAAGATTTTATTTATTTATTTGGGAGAGAGAGAAAGAACAGGCAGGGGAGGGGCAGAGGGAGAAACAGACTCCCACTGAGCAGGGAGCCTGACATGGGGCTCGATCCCAGGAGCCTGGGATCATGACCTGAACCGAAGGCAGACGCTCAGACCAACTGAACCACCCAGACACCCCATGAATAATTTTTTTAAAGATTTATTTATTTGAGAGAGGGAAGGAGTGGGGAGAGGGGCTGAGTGTGCAGCCCAATGCAGGGCTCAATCTCACAACCCTGAGATCATGACCTGAGCCGAAATCAAGAGCCGGACGCTTAACTGACTGAGCCACCCAGGCGCCCCTATGATAGAATCATAAGCATGATAAGCACCATGAAAGAAAATTGGAAGTGCTGGTAGGATATATAACAGTCATCTGATTTTATCTGTGGTGTCAGGGGCAGCTTCCTAGAGGAGGAGACAACTGAGCTGAGATATGGAGGATTGGAATGAGTAAAAAGGGGAGGGGAGAGTGTCCTATGCCAAGGGAATAGCCTGTGCAAAGTCCCTGAGGTAGGAAAGAGTTCGGTGAGTTGGAAAACCTGAGCAGTCAGTGTGGCTGGAGCAGAAAAGGCCCTTAATGCAGGGTGTGTATAGCAGGTGCCCCTTTCCCCCCACCCCCACCCCCAACCCAGTACTACCATCTTCTCTTCCACACCTGTGATATACATGTTATATTTGGCTGCATAGAATAGAAAAACCCAAAACAAGAGATGAAAATTTGGTTTTCTGACTCATGAAAATAGTCTGGAGATAACCAGTCCAAGCTGTTTTGGCAGCTGCAGGAGGCCCTTAGAGACCCAAGAGCCTTCAGCTCTCCACTCTGCCCTTTTGGAGTAGCTCTTGTCCTTGTCATCCAATATGGCTGCTGGAGCTCCAGGGAGCAGGACAAAGGAAAAGGGAGCAGAAGGGTTCTCATTTGTTTTACATCTCATTGACCAGAATTTATTCCCAGAGCCTCACCTAGCTGCAAGGGAGGCTAGGAAACAGTTATTCTGAGTAGGGAAGATTAAATCTGGAGTTCTGTTACTAATGAAGAATGGGAGGTGGGCTGTTGGGAGACAGAACTGCAGAGGTGCTTCACACCTTCCCAGAGCACTGACCTCAGCCCTCTCCTTCCTGCAGACCCTGCTGAAGGTAGTGTATGTAGAGAATGACATCCAGCACCTGCAGGACATGTCCCACTTCCCAGACCGGGGCAGTGAGAATGGGACACCTATGGACGTGAAGGCTGGGGTGCGAGTCATGCAGGTCAGTCCTGATGGCCAACACTTGGCTTCAGGCGACCGAAGTGGAAATCTGAGGCAAGTGAGGCCTGGCGGGTGACTAATGTACGCTTCGCAGCTCAGGCTTGGGTCCTGAGGGTGGTGGGAAGGAGCCCTGGCCTGGGCACCTCCACTTCCCCATTGGGAATGAGGGACTGTGAATGGCAGTCTAGAAACCAGCCATCCCTGAGAACCGAAGCTGAGAAGTATCTTCCAGAGGGCTGAGATAGGGGAGGTCCCAGGACCTCAGCAGCTGGGGCTTGTGAACGGTGCCTGCGTGGTAGACAGGCAAGCTTGCATTCTAGGGTAGGGTGACACTTTTACCAGCCAGGTGACACCAGTGCTGAATAGTCAAGGTTGCCAGCTGGAGCATGGGGGGCCCTGGTGGCACTGGGAGGGGGGCTGGGAGGATGGGACATTTGAGGGCGCAGGCTGTTTACCCACACTATGGAGGTTTTTTTAAGATGTTTCTGGCGCAGTAGGTGCTGACAGAATATGAGCGCTCTCACAGGGACCAGGTTTACGTTGACGAATGACAGCTGTGACCACCTGGGTGCTGAGGCTGTTGAGGAAGGGAAGGGATGGGGGGAGCATGGGCTCCATCTTAAAGGGGCAGCTCCCACACAGTAGCCGGATCGCAGGCTCCACTGTCCGATGTCCCCATTGTCCAAGAAGAGTGAAGTGCATGGTTTTTCGTGAAATTCTATGGTTTTTAAATGGTGGCAACTGTTTTGACACCAGTCACTGTGTGAGGCAGCCCGATGTGTCCGTGGGCTGCGCACACTGACAGCGTTCTGTTGTGCGAGGTGAGACCAGTCACGAGCTAACTCGGGTATAGCACTCGTCCCCGGCTGGCCACCCGCCTGCCGCTGTGCACACCAACCGACTTAGCCCTTTCCCCCACCCTCTGATGGGAGTGCTGGTATTAGCTCCATTTCCAGATGGGTTAACTGAGGCAGGAGAGGCCAGTGGCTAAGCTAAGATCACACAGGAAGAGTGGAGGACCTGAGATGACTGTCTCTTATATCATCCTAGATGGCCTGTTGGTTGGTTGATTTTATTTGGAGAGAATGAGGAAATTTAGATTTGAGAGTCTAAGAATGGGAGAGTCAAGTACTCCTCACCCATAGGTCCTATCCTTGAGTATGACCTCTGACCCTTGGTCCCTCCCCCACCCCCAGGGATCTCCTCTGACACAGCCCTGCCCTAACTCCTGTTCCCCCAGAGGACTGTCCTAGACCTGCTCCATGGAGCCATAAGGGGCTGGGTGCCCACTTGGATGGCCCAGGCTTGGCACTGCCGCCTTTAAGGTAGCAGGTTTCTAGGTGAGAAGAATGGTTGGGCATCTCTAGACTAGTTGGCCAGGGCAGGAAGTTCCCCATGTTGCCTCGCTGGCAGAGCACCTAGAGCTGAGGGGTCGGGGCACGGGCAGGGTACAGTGGACAGTGTGTGTCTCCCAGGATCCACGAGCTGCACTTCATGGATGAGCTGGTCAAGGTGGAGGCCCATGATGCTGAGGTGCTGTGCCTGGAGTACTCCAAGCCTGAGACAGGTAGACCTATGCGGGGTGGCAGGGGGAAGGCAGGGGAGCAGCCCCCCTGGCAGAGCCACAGAGACGGGGAGTTGATGTCTGGTGGGGCTGTGAGTGACAGCTGCAAGTCCTATGTTTAGTAAGTGCCCCTGTCACTGGGCCCTGAGACCAGCGTAGCTGGGACTCTAGAATGCAAGACTGGCAGGCAGGACTGGGCTGGACTTGCTCTGGTTCCCAGTGTCCTGAAAAGCACTCAGGTTAAAAAGGTGAGTGTTGAATGAGAGAATGTATGGATAGATCAACAGTTAAATATCATATCGTATATCAAATAATATCAAACATATTATTTTGAAAAAGTTTGATGCCTACAGAAACATTGCAAGAGTATTAGAATAAATACCCACGTTCTCTTCACCCAGATTCCTCAGGTTTTTTTCTTTTAAATTCTTTCTGACCCTATGACTGTGTGTATGACTTTATCTGCTTCCGCATCTCCACTTCTGTCTCCATGTTTGTGCACGCATGTGTACATATGCTCGCATTAATAAAATACTAGCATATACAATTTTTTTTTAGTAATTTTTGTAAACTTTTTTTTTTAAGATTTTATTTTATTTATTTGACAGAGACACAGCGAGAGAGGGAACACAAGCAGGGGGGAGTAGGAGAGGGAGAAGCAGGCCTCTTGTGGAGCAGGGAGCCCGATGCGGGGCTCGATCCCAGGACCCTGGGATCATGACCTGAGCCGAAGGCAGACACTTGACGACTGAGCCACCCAGGTGCCCCTAGCATATACATTTCTTTTGCTGACTTGTTAGAGAATAAGTCGACGGTATGACCTTTCACTCTTCACTGGGTCTGTGAGGACATCCATTTACATGACCACGTGCACTTATCAAATGTGGAAGTTTCACTTTTTCTTGTACTGTCCTCTCTTTTTTGTGGTCCTTATTCCCATTTTGCCAGCTGTCCCAATGTTGTCCTCTCTAGCACCTTTGTTTTTCCAGTCCAGAAACTCAACTCTTTAAATCACCTTTTTTCTGGAACATTTCCACAGCCTTAATTTGTCTTTATGACTTGGCTTTCTGCAGAGTATAGACCAGTCATTTTATAGAATTTCCTTCCATTTGAGTTTGTCTGTTTTCCTCATGATTTCATGCCCCTGATACATTTTTGGCAGGAATAGAACTTAGGTGGAGTCATGTCCTGATAGGTAAGCAATCTTTCCCATGCTCTTTCCTCCTCCTTCGTTTCCCCGCACCCTCTGGCCCACCAGTTTTTCTTGAGATCTCTCTTCGTTCAGTCCATCCTTCCTGAGCTCCTGTCTGCCTCAGGTCACGTGTTCGCCCTCAGACATGCCAGGCGACCAGGGTAAGCGCTGTCTGAGGGGACGCCTTGGCAGAAGGAGGTGCAGCAGCGAGCCGCCGGTAGGACCCGGTCGAGACCCCAGCCAGAGCTCAGAGAGTGAGGGAACGGTGTTCCGGGGAGGCTGGGAAGTTGGCAGGGCTTCGTGGCATGCCTAAGAGTCGGACTTGGCAGGAAGGAGTGCTGGGCTCTGCTAGGACGGCTGCTGTGGGCACAGGTGGCAGAGTGCCCGTGTGCACCTCAAGGTTCATCCACTGAACTGGTGGCACGGGGTGGGAAATGCCAGGGTTTGGGGGGCTCTGGGGAAAGACTACAGAGAGCTGAGGGAATGGCCCCTTTCTGGGTTTGGGGCAAGTTGGCTGCAGGTATAGAACCAAAGACCCCCTCTTCAAGGCCTGGAAAGCTCAGTCATGTTGCCATCTGGGAGGCCAAGTCATCAAGCGGCCTCCTGGGAACCCAGGGCTACTCTGTCCACTCACAGGGCTGACCTTGCTGGCCTCGGCCAGTCGGGACCGACTGATCCACGTGCTGAACGTGGAGAAGAACTACAACCTGGAGCAGACCCTGGACGACCACTCCTCCTCCATCACTGCCATCAAGTTTGCTGGTGAGCCCCTTCCTGCTTGCTCCACCTTGTTTGGTGCGCTGCTTTGGCTACAAGTAACAGCAAAACTCCCTTTAGCTTAAACAAAAAAGGGAAAAGCAAGTTGTGGATTCAGGCCCAGCTGGATCCCAAGGTTGATGATTTTTTTTTTCCCCTTATCAAGACTCCCTCTGTCAGCTGCACCTTTCTGCGGTGGGTGGCATCTTGGTTATCATTGTGCCACTGGAAGGAGATTTCCCCTCTTTCTGTCAGTTTTGGCAGAAATCAAGTGCTGACTTCCCTTGTGCTGGCTTGAGGCACCTGCCCTTTTCAGAACGGTTATGGGTGCCAGGGCTTTGGGGTGTTTTCTTGGGCCAGGTCTGACTCATGTGCCCCCAGCCCACACCTCCCTCTGCCTTTGATCCAGGAGGACTGAAATTAGGTGAATGTTGTTCCCCAAAAGGAAATCGGGGTGCCAGACCTGCGAGAGGGCAGGATGGACACTGATGACCTTGACAGAAAAATAGGTGACCGTGAAAATTGCTGGAAGCTAATTCTGTGCTGGCAAGGATCCTTGCACTGCAATTTGCCCCTTCCTTACCCCACTTACAGCTAGAGTCACACAGCCAGGAGGTGCAGGCTTAGGATCTTGCCTCGGGATGCCCTGCAAAGCCCACACTCAACGAGGAAATCAAAGGGATTTCCTCTAGACTTGAAAGATTCAGCATGGAGGTCCTTGGCCCTAAAGGATTCTGAGGGGAGGGGAGGTGGGTCCCGTAGGGTTTAACTGATCAGAACCCAAGAGCATATTCAAAACTATATTCCAGAAGAAAGTTGTTCATGGAGAGAATATATCCACGTACTCATTCTAAGTTCTTGACTATGAAGAATTTTTTTTACATGTAATCTTGTGACTGAAAAGGTATTAATGTCCCTTGATCCTCCCTACTTCTGGCCCTACCTCTCTGTAGCTAAAACACGTTAACTAAATGGACAAAAGTTAACAATGTTTGACGTGTCTTGATGAAGACCTCCAAAGCTGATCAGCTAAAATTTCTCAGACATCTTTCAAAACCTATTCATTTCATGGGATAGAGTTAATTAGAATAAATCAGTGAGTCTAGCCGTTTGGCCACCAGTGACCTCAGCTTTCATGAATGGTATGGATCCAAGAGCAGTGATGACAGTCCAAGGGGTGGCCCAGGAATTGGTCCTTAAGGCCACCTTCTGCAGGGTATGGGTTTTCATCAGAGCCCCCAGCCAGTCTGATAAGACGTAAATCCTCAACCCAGCTCCTGTTCCGGCTGATCTTTGCTCAAAACATTGACAATTTTAGTATAAACTGGGCTCCAGCCAGTCGAAACCTAACAGCAGCTGCCCTGCTAACGAAGGATTCTGTCTTTAACAGTTTTATCTGAAACATATCCAAACAAATGAATACAATATGTGTAGTTTACAGAATAATACAATGAACTTCCCATCAAGGTTCATAATCAGTGGGTATGAACTAGAACAGACACACCCATTGTTTATAACCAGTGACTGTTCTGATTGCTTGTGTTCTAACATTGCTAAGTACTTGGGCTCCCCACCCCACATTCAGAAGCAGAACATGACCAGTAACTTGCAGGCCTCTCTGGGTCCCTCCCAGGTCACACTCCCTCTCCCACACAGGACTCACTCCCTTCTGTGGGCCAGTGACTCCTGCTTGAGTAACAACTTGTGTATCAGGCCCTAGCTCTCTCCGATGTCCTGCCACGAAGCAGCAGGTTTGTAGTGCCTGGGCTTCATATTTATTTATCCTCAGTGTTTTATAGCTATTCCGTCTCTGCATCGTCACCACAACTCTGAGGTATTTGTGCTGTTATCATTCTAAGTCTATAAAGAAAGAAGAAAGGCAAGAATATGTAGAGTGCTTACCAGGTTGCAGCCACTGTTCCACAGGCTTCACAGAACGCCGTGGGGCAGGGGCTCTCATAGGCCCATTGTACAGACAGGAAACAGGTATGGAGGGAAAGCCAGGGCTCAGAGCACAGTGTTTAGCCAGAAAATGCCTGAGTCTAATCCTGGCCCTGTCCTGACTCTCTGCACACCCTGGGCCAAAGACTGTGTGACTCTAAGCCCCGGGCTCACATTTGTACAGGGGAGTGGCCGGTGAGCAGTCAGGAGGGGAGGCACCGGTGGCTCGGGCCCTGGCCTGAGGTGCATGTGGATGCTCTGATTGCTCAGGATGGCATGGACCTCCCAACAGTCTGCCTGTCTCTGCTTGCCCCCTGCTTTGGTCCCGCTTCCACTCGGTTGCCCAGATCATCTTTCCAAATCCCAGATCAGACATGGTGCCCATTCGGTGTCCCTGGCCTGTTCCCTATCCGCCCTTGCTCTGCAGAGGCCTGCCAAGCCACTGCTCTAGCTGTCCCACCTCATGCACACAGCTCACATCTTAGAATACCACCAGCACCCAGCACCCACTGCCCTCCTCCAGGAATCCCTCCCTGACCCCCAGCAGAGTTCCCTTGCAGGGAGTTCCCTAGCTAGGATCCCTGGCCCCAGGCAGGCTCGGCAGTGGCCCAGCCTCACCTAATGTACCACCTCCTTCTCCTCCAGGCAATAGAGACATCCAGATGATCAGCTGTGGGGCTGACAAGAGCATCTACTTTCGCAGTGCCCAGCGGGTAGAGTGGGTTGGCCTCCTTGGGGGCTGGGGTGGGCAGCTTGTCAGGGGCGTCCTCTGAAGGCCCTGCCTGCCCTGCCAGACCTCGGATGGACTACACTTTGTCCGCACCCACCACGTGGCAGAGAAGACCACCTTGTATGACATGGACATTGACATCACCCAAAAGTACGTGGCCGTGGCCTGCCAAGACCGCAATGTGAGGTGAGGAGCTGCCCTGGGCTCTGAGTCGGCCTGGCCCCTGGTTTCTGAGTAGGGCCTGAATGAGACCTAGTCGGGTCTGTCTGCTTGTGAGCCGTCTGTTTTCTTCCCCCTGCTCATCTGGTCCCTCGGGAGCTGGGTTGCGTGGAGGGACCCAGCGCGTGTTTCTCAGGAGCTGGGCTCACCCTGGTCTAGCCTCCAGGTCAGCAAGGGGGTTCCTTCTGGCTCTCCAGAAGCCTGTGGGGTGACTAAGAGGTGCTGGTGTGGCTCATAAATTCGTTCGTTCACCTACATTTCCTGAGCACCCAAGCTGGGTTGGACAGTGCCGGAGACACAGCAGTGAGCAGGGCAGCCCCAGGCCTTGCCTTCACGGAACTCAGTCCAAGGGAGGCGAGATGGACACCTCACTAGACAGTGACAGCATGGAGCCGTCAGGGCTGGGAGAGCCCGGGGGACTTGGGGGGCCCGGCGAGACACCTGATCCTACGTGGGGATCAGGCGGGGCTTGATGGAAGGAACATCTGAACTGAGATGTGGAGGAATGAGCCAGGGGAAGGGAGAGCTTGTGCAAAGAGGTTCTCCACCTCTTTCATCTGCTCGTTCAGATGGAGTGCCAGGCACTCTGCTTGCTTGGTAGCAGGGAAGACAGACATGAACTCAGCAGACGCTAACTCCATGGACACCCCAGTGCATAACCCCCGTGCATGACCTCAGCCTGAGATGGCATCTCATTCCCTGAGGGGCGATCTCAGTCCAGGCATCAGATGGGGGATGAGAGGTGGCAAGAGGCTTTCAGGGGCGAGGAAGATGGTCCGGTAAGGCTGAAACCAGAATGCAGGAGGGGGCAGGCGGGCAGGGCCACGTTGGCCACGTTGTGCCCCCACCTCCGCAGAGTCTACAACACCATGAATGGGAAGCAGAAGAAGTGCTACAAGGGCTCCCAGGGTGACGAAGGGTCCCTGCTGAAGGTGAGTAGCTGGGACCCCCGTGTGAAAAGCACACACATTCCCCCCTGTCCGCCTGCTGCCCTGATGGGCCACCTGAGACCTGTGACCTCCTGGGCACCTGATCAAAGATCACAAACTGGCCAGCACCCACTCTGGCCTGGCTGACCAAGGAGGTTGCTTGGGAGCTGGGGGTGTCACAGACTATTTTACCTTTATGAGCCCTTTTCCAAACTGGGACATTTAAGTCCATTTAAGTGGTTTCTATTTTGAGTGGCCATGGTGTGGTGAGAACAATCAAAGAGGCCTGGGCTCCTTTACCAGGCTTGCCCCCTGCTGTGTTATCAGGACAAGTTTGGGGGACCTTCTCAGAGCCTCTGGAGTAGGGGAGTTGTAACGAGTTCAGGGTTCAAGGTCAGACTCTCTCAGCTCTGCCTCGGGCTATGACCTCGGGCAAGTGTCATCTCCTCTGAAGCCCATTTCATCACCTGTAAAATGCAGATAGAAAGAACCTCTATCATAGAGGTGTTCTCTGGAAGAAATCAGTTTGCACGCATACAGTGCTTTGCACAGGGCCTGGTTGGTAATTTTTTCACCTGTGAAATGGGAGCAGGAGTTCGATCCTAACCAGGGTGTATGTCCTGCGGGCTACCTGGGACGAGTCAGCGTGCCAGTGTCCCGCACGAGAGGGTCCTCCATCCATGGAGGCTGTGGGGTTTGACCTGGCCTCGCCACAGGGAAGAAGCAGGCAGCCCCGCTGTCATGTGGGTCCTCTTCTCCCCAGGTCCACGTGGACCCCTCAGGCACCTTCCTGGCCACGAGCTGCTCAGACAAAAGCATCTCGGTGATTGACTTTTACTCAGGCGAGTGCGTTGCCAAGATGTTTGGTCACTCAGGTGGGTGTGCCTCCCTACGTGGGGTGCCTCCCCACGCGCCCCCACACTGCCTTCTGACTCAGGAGGTCAGTACAGCTTCTCTGCTCTGCTTTCAGAAATCGTTACCGGCATGAAGTTCACCTACGACTGTCGTCACTTGATCACAGTATCCGGAGACAGGTGGGAAAGGCCTGGAGGCCGCCCCTGGCTGGCCTCCCTCTGGGAGTGGGCAAGACTGGTACTGTGGGGGGCACAGGGGCTCAGACAGCGGGAACACCACGCTCCCGGCCTGCCCTGCCCACGCAGAGAGCCCTGCTGAGGGTTCCAGCTTACTGCTCTCTCCTTTAACGGCGTGGACCTTGGTGTCACACCCAGCCCTGAGTTCAAATCCCAGATCTGCCACTTACTTGGCACCTTGAGCAGGTCATTTCCCATCTCTAAGCCTCAGTTTGCTCCTTTGTAAAAGACAGATGACCCCAACGTCCTGGACAACTGTACAGTGAGAATCAAATGAGATGGCATATGAAGTCCTTAGCATGTGGTTGGTGCCCAAAGAAGTCCCTTTTGTCGCTCCCTCCAGTTTATTACAGTCCTTCCGCAGCCCCCTTCCTTGGGTCTTGAGGACTTCAGAACAGGTCCTGGTTTGCTGGGATGCTCTGAACCGCGCCCAGGGTGTAGAGCCCACGTGGCCTGGAGCCCCCACCCCGGGCCCTAAGCGGAAGGGGGGTGTTTTCTGGGAGGGGCCAGGGAATGGGGTCTTGGCTGTGGTGACCTAGGGGGCTCCAGAGTCAGATGGCTTCCATGTTTACTGTTCCTTCCCCTTCCACATCTCTCTTTCGCCTGCGCAGCTGCGTGTTCATCTGGCACCTGGGCCCAGAGATCACGAACTGCATGAAGCAGCACTTGCTGGAGATCGACCACCGGGAGCAGCCGCAGCAGCAGAACATGCAGGATGGGAAGTGGAGCAGCCAGCCCAGGTCCTGGCAGTGACCCGGCCATCCCCCATCCGTCTGTCTGTCTGCCGGAGAAACGTCTTCCCGCCCTGGGCCCCGTGAGGAGTGATGCTGGAGACAGCCATGGCCAGGACAGCCCTAGGCCCTGCCCTTTGTGCACCCGTGGCCCTGTCGGGGAGACAGATTTTGAGTACAAATTTATGATAGTATATAGGAGAAGGGTTTTGAAGTGGAAAAGCGAAGTGGAGAGCCTGTGAGCACTGTTTTGGGAGAAGAAGCTCCGGGGCACTGTGGGGACCAGGGGAGGCCCCTGCCCCAGCATGCAGTGGGGAGGGACGTAGTCAGAGAAGGCTCCAGTGGAGGACCCTTATTCTTCAAAGTTTTTATGCTGCAAGACCAGTTTCATTTGGAGTAAGGTCGTATTCTAATTTCTGGCTAGGGAATTTTAGTTTGGAGGTCTCAGTTGAGTGGGAGATTTGGGGGTTTATCCTCTCTCCTGCCTCTGGAGCTGTCCTTGCCTTTCTCTGCCTTGAGGCTTTGCCATTGCCTCCCCACAGGGACCAGGCCTGAACATGAGTCTCCCGTCCTGCGTAGTATTGGATGTCTTGCAGATCTAGGTACCAAGGGAATGGGCAGCTCCTCTTGGCTCCTGGTTTTGAGGCTTACACACTGCCCCAGGTGCCCTCCAGTGCCCACCTTGTGTCAGGCGTGTTTTAGGCTCCTGTACTCCAAAGGAGATAAAACCTTATTGCTACCCACCCCCACACACTGCCCCCGCTACACACACACTCCCCAGAATGGAGTGCAGCAGCTTAGTACTCAAGCCCCACTATCTGCTTTGCTTTCTGTCCCATTGCTGTGGCCTTTAGAGAGTTTGTCGTATTTTTTGAGTGCAGTCTTTGTTATATCTCATTTATTGTGGTGATATTTCCAGCAGAGCAGGTGCAGCAGGGAGCTCTCCTGGCACCATCTTGACCGGAAGTCAGCAATATGTTCCTATGGAAGCTAGCACAGGGCCCAGCCCTAGGGAGATCCCTGTGCCTCCCGCCACCACCCCATTTACCTATTTCTCTCCTTGCCGTTCTCATTCCTGGCCTCAGGCAGGAGACCTATACATCCGTGCCCAGCGAGATTTGCTCCTTAAGCCCTGGAGAGCAGACGGAGGATGAGCTGGAGGAACAGTGTGAGCCGGAAGAGTTGCTGAAGACACCATCCAAAGAGAACTTGGACCCAGGTTGGGAAAGGGGTTCATTCAAAGGGGCCCTATTTTGAACTCTCCATGTAGGGATCATTGCTGGGTTTTGCCCACTACCTGGAAATGAAGCTCAGTAATCCCATCAGTCAGGACTCCCTCAGTGTAATAGCATCCAGACTCTCACTGGCTTCAGCGGGAAAGAGAATTTCTTGGTTCATATACCTGAAAATCAGAGAATTTGGCTTCAGGCAATCGCTGGATCCCTGTAGTCAGGTGATGTTAAAGGAATATATTTTTCCTCCGTCTTTTGGCTCTGCTTTTCTCCATGTTGGTTTTGCTGTCAGGCAGACTCTCCCTTTCCTGATGGCAAAGATTCTCCCAGCAGCTCTAGGTAATCGAACTCTAGAGAAGAGAACATCTCTTTCCCAGTAGCTCAAGCAAAATCCTGGGTTCGTGACTCCTGTTTCTGGTGTGCGTCATGTAGCCAGTAGCTGTGATTGGCCAGGCCTGAGTCATGTCATCCCTGAAGGGGGAGGCTTGACCCAGCTCCACTGGAGCCACCTGACTAAAGAGGGTGGGAAGGGGTGCAGGGGATGTCCCAGGGGAAAAACAAGGTGCTGTTAACCAGAGACAACAGATTCTGTTGTTCAGGCAAAAGGGAGAATAGTAGCTCAATGACTTTATAGGAGGCCAGGCTTTCTCTAAATTTCTGCCCTTCTGCATGTTGCCTTGGCTTAGGCCCTCATGGTTGCAAGATGGCTGCTGTTTGCATAGGACAGTCACTCTTCCAACCTCCTTTGGAGAGGAAACTTGCCCACAAGCTCCCGGCAGGCTTCTCTCAGGTCCCATTGGCCATGGTTGCTCCAACTAAGAGAGGCTGGGAGCTTTCAGTGTGGGGCGGGGGCCTCTACCAACAGGGGCTGACTAGACAGTAGGCAACAGTAATATAAGAATTCAGCCTTGGAAAAAATCAGAGTAAGCAAATTTTCTTTGTTGCCACCCTCACACCCAACCCCATGTTCTCTCCAGGGTGGCCACTTCTGTCAGTTTCTTATGAATCCTTATAGGCCATTTCCTGAACATTAATATATATATGTACACAGTCATCAGAACATGTCATATTTATGTACATGAATTGTATTCTGTAGACATTCAGTACTTTTTTCCTCTCAGAAGTATCTTATCAGGGCGCCTGGGTGGCTCAGTCAGTCCGACTCTTGGTTTCGGCTCAGGTTGTGATCTCAGGGTCGTGAGATCAAGCCCTGCATCAGGCTCTGCACTCATTGTGAAGTCTGCTTGGGATTTTTTCCCTCTTCCTCTCCCTTCACCTCCGCTCCTCCTCGCGCTTGCACTTTCTCGAGCTCTCTCTTGTTCAGATAAATAAATAAATAAAATTGTTTTTAAAAAAGAAGAAATGGGGCGCCTGGGTGGCTCAGTCGTTAAGCGTCTGCCTTTGGCTCAGGTCGTGATTCCAGGGTCCTGGGATCAAGCCCCACATCGGGCTCCCTGCTCAGTGGGGAGCCTGCTTCTCCCTCTCCCTCCGCCTGCCGCTCCCCCTGCTGTGCTCTCTCTCTCCCTGTCAAATAAATAAATAAAATCTTTAAAAAAAGAGAGAAGAAATATCAACCTCTCAAATAAATAAAATCTTAAAAAAAAAAAAAAAAGAAATAGCCACCTATTGGTGGATACAAAACAGAGGCCTCTTTTTTTTTTTTTAAGATTTTATTTATTTAGAGAGAATGAGTGTGAGGAGGGGGAGGGGCAGAGGGAGAGAGAGAGAGAATCTCAAGCAGACTCCATGCTGAGCGGGGAGCCCGGTGCAGGACTGGATCTCACCACCCTGAGATCATGACCTGAGCCTGAGCCAAAATCAAGTCAGATGCTCGACCGACTGAGCCACTTAGGTGCGCCACAGGCCTCCCTCTTTTACCAACAGCATGGTGGGATATTTTAAGGTATTTGCCTCTGGCTGGACATTTAGGGTTTTCTAACTGTACCCCTCGGTGAATAAGGCCGTACTGACCACTCCTAGGCCTCCTCTGGCGTATGTGAGGGTGGTTCTCCAGGACGGAGGTGAGGGCTGGTGCTGCCGGCTCTGGGGTTAGTACACTTTTTATTTCAAAAGAGAACCCCAAGGGCCCTCCACATCCAGTTACTGCCCCACCTAGCAGGCCCACACTTTGGCCAACACTTGATCATATGAAGCATTTTAGTTTGGGTCCATTGTGTAAATTTGCCTTTTCCTGACAATGAGTAATATGTCTGTTGTTTCTTGTATTGTCTCTTTGGAGAACTGCCTATTTATGTATGTTGCCTGTTTGTCTGTTGGGTTGTTTATTCTCTCCTGATGGATTCCATGTGTCTCTCCAGATCCTCGGTGTCTGCTGACCAATGGCAAACTGCCACTCTGGGCAAAGCGGCTGGTGAGTCTGCCCAGAGACCGGGATGCCTAGGGCTGGCAAAGTGGGTGTGCTCTCCTTCATGCTCTTCTTTCTTCTGGGAGCCCGTTTCCCTCTCTGTGTCTCTCTTTTCCCTAGAGAACCCTGTCATCCTTCCAGTCTCAGCTTAGACAGTCCTTCATGCTTATAACACGTATAGTGACCACCTTCCCTGTGCCAGTCTTGTTCTGACTATCCGGACGGCAGGGAGCAGGGCAGACAAAACGTCGGCCTTCACAGGCTCATTTTCTAGTGTGGGAGATGGGCAGTATCCACATCAAACCAATGAGTTGTATAGTATTTTGGGAGCTGATAAGTGCTGTGGAGGAAAAAAATTGAGAAAGAAAATAACAAGTATTGGGGGGAGGGGGCAACAATTTTATGATGAACAGAAAGGCCTTACTGGGAAGGTGATATTTGAACAGAGTTGAAGCAAGGGAGAAATGCAGTTCATGGGAAAGAATGTTCCAGGCAGAGAGAACAGTATGTAGGACAAAGGCCATGAGGCAGGATTATGCTTATTAGCATGTTCAAAGAGGTACGGGGAGGCCCAACTGCCTGGGTTGAGGGTGAATGAGGGTTGGGGGGAGAAGGGCTCAGGGAGATGATGGGGGCCAGATGGTGTGGCACCGTGTGGGCTGTGGTGCATTCCCTAAATAGTCCTCGTTGTCCTCCCCACTTATTTTCATCCCTGGCACCGAGTGAGATGGAGGCAAAGGAGGGCTCTGAGCTGAGGAAGGCCATGAGGTAGCGCCAAGTGTGAACATGAGGGGCAAGCAGAGGGCCAGGGAGGAGACTTGGGATCATCCAGGCAGGAGAGGTGGGAGGCTGGATAGATTTTGAAGGTGGAACCAAATGACTGGTTGTGAGAGAAAGAAGATGATGTTAGGATCGCATGAATGTTACTTAGGGGAGGCGCAGGCTAGGAGCCAGTGGGTTAGAAGCTGGCGGCAGAATCCTACACCCGAGGTTGGATGATTTATTTCAGTAACAATGTCAGTCCTCAGTCAAAACCTAACTGTCAACTCCTCAGGGAAATCCTCCCTGCCATCCCCTTCCCTGCAGACCAGGTCTCTCAAGACCCCACGCTTCCCCTTATCCGTAAATGCTACGAGTGGAATTACATTCAACAAACATGGATAGCACACTTACTCTGTACAGGCTGTTCTAAGGATTTTGTATGTATTATCTCATTTAATCCCCACTGAAGTATAGGACCTTTTCATATCCCTATTTCACAGATGGAGAAACTGAGGCCCAGGGAGGTTAAGTAACGTGTCCAGGGTCACACAGCTAGGAATTCGAGGATGTGGGCTGCTCCAGAGCTGAGTTCTCAAGTACCCACCCTCCGCTGTCTCTCAGGCCACAGTCCTATTTGCAGGCAGTGCTGGGCAGGACCAGGGTGGGAGAGGTGGCCATATGTGTTTGGATGGCAGAGCTAACAGAATTTGCTGAAGAAATACAAGGTGGAGAGTATGAGGGACAGTACAAGAATGAAGGATGACCTCAAGGTTTGGGGCCTAAGCAGCAGGCAAGAATAAGATAAGGAAGGCTTTAGGAGGAGTCAATCTGGGGGGGAAGATCAGGAGTTGCTTTCAACATGTGTTCGCTCTGAAATATCCATATAGATGGAGAGCAATTGCACGTGCGCTTCTGAAATTTAACAGATTCAGGCTGGAGATGTTTCTCTGGAGGCCGTTGCTGAGTGGTGTTTAAAGCCGAGACTGGATGGAGTCCATGCAGAGTCCCTGGCTCCCACTGGAGTTGATGATCTCTTGGCTAGCTGTCTGACCATCTCCTGTCACCCTCAGCTAGGAGATGATGACGTGGCAGATGGCTCAGCCTTCCATGCCCAGCGCAGCTACAAGCCCCATGGACGCTGGGCGGAGCGTGCTGACCAGGAGCCCCTCAAGACCATCCTGGATGCCCAGGACCTGGATTGCTACTTCACCCCCACGAAGCCCGAGAGCCTGGAGGGCTCTATTCTGGATACAGTGGAGCCCCAGAGCCTGGTGGCCCTGCTGAGTGAGGTACAGACCGCCCCAGCCCGGCCCACGGTCCCTGCACTGTGACTGCCCACCCGGGACCTGGGGCCTCGGCAGTATCATTTTGAAAATCAGGCTGATTTTCCCACTCTAGGGGTGCAAGATGATTACATGATGTGGTGGAGGGCAGGAGGGTGAGGCCCTGGGCCTAGTGCAAGTGAGACTTCCCAGGCAGACCAGGAGTCTGGGAGGTGGGTCCCTTGGGGGTGAAGAGCTTGGGCCTGAGAGCAGGCCTGTGGCTGGCTGGGGACGGTGGGGGGGAGGGGGTCATTTGAGCAGGTAGAGCCCTGACCTTACCCCTTCCTTGCTGTGTGACCACTTGCCGTGAGGCTTGCTTCTCTAGGTTTCTGCTTTCAAAAAAAAAATGGTCATTAAAAAAAAAGATAACCAAGAAAGAAAGATTTCTTAAAAATGGTCATAAAAAGAAAGCCTTCAGAGGGCTTTGATAGGAATCCAGCACCAATAGGGCCTGGGCCCTCAGAAGTGCTGAAGCAACTTTAGCTCTTGTTCTGTTATTTTCCAAACAAAATTATCTTTTATTCTGTTGTATAAACCGTCTTTTTTATTGTGAAATGATACACATACACTTGTGTGTACAAATCCTAGGTACACAGCTTGACAAGTTATTGCCTATGTATGCACCTATGTATCTACCACCCAGGCCCTAAGATAGAGAGTATCTTCTACCTCCTGGAAGACCGCCTTGTGCCCCTCCTAATCGGTACCCCCACCCGAGGCACAGCCTTTTAACCTCTCACCGAGGATTAGTTTGTTCTTGAACGTCACCCAAATCGGCTTCTGGAGGATTGGAGCCTTGCCCGTAGAGGGGCTGCCGACCAGCAGGAGGAGCGCAGAGGGAGCTCAGGATGAGCACCTCACCGGGCCCAGGCCCTGGCTCAGCGGGATGCTCCAGCACGTCTTCCCTGTTATCGTGGGTGTGGTACGCCTGGCGGCCTGCAAAGGGCCCTGGCTGCCATGACCACCTCAGATGGCTGTGTCCTCTCCACCCTGCAGTCGGAGAGCCCCCAGAAGGTCGGCGGGGGGCATCCCTCCTTCCTGCCCCTACAGAGGGAGTCCTCTGAGGACAGCGAGCTCATCATCTACTCCCTGGAGGCGGAGGTGACAGTCCCAGGGACAGACAGGTGAGTGTCCTGTGCACCCAGGGAAGCCTTAAGGCATTGGAGAGAGGAGGCCTCAGCTGATAGGCACGCGTTGGAAGAATTGCTCTCCGCTCTCCCCATGGGCCTGTGGGAATGGGGCAGAGCAGTAAGGCCCGGGTGGCACGGGAGCCTGGCCCTGCAGCCTCAGTTGCCCTGGTTCCAGGTGGAGGTGCAGGGAGCCTTTGCAGGAGGCAGGAGAGGCAAGGCAGTGCTCAGTAGGAGCAGGGCACAGATGTCTAGGGGGTCAGGGTGGGGGCTAGCTGTTTACTACCAGTATGTTCTCATTCCCTTGCCCCACCCCCGGCACTGCAGCGAGTACTGCACGAAGGACATCAAGGGGGAGTCCAGAGACCAGCAAGGTGACTCCTACCTCAGAGTCTCCTCATTCTGCCCGAAGGATCAGAGACCACCTGACGGTGAGTGGCGGCAGGTGGAGACCCTGCAGTAATCTGTCCAGCCAGGCTCCTTTCTGGGTATTAATGGCAACCTTGACTCAGTCTTTCTGAAGCTCAGAGTCTATCACGGAGGCAGACATGGTCCCTGCTGTTCCCTGAGGATTCTCGAGCCCAACTGCTGACTGGCAGGAGCCCAGCTCTGCCACTTCCTTGAAGTGTAAACTTGCTGGTCCATAAAAACAGAGTGGGTATTATTACCCCCCACTCTTCAGATTGGAAAACCAAAGCCCTGGGAACCTGAGCCACTTACCTGACTCACCCAGTGAGGGCCTGGCTTTGGGCTCCTGACTCCCGCTCTGCCCCTCCAGACTTGGGGGAGTCAGAGGCTGACTTGGAGTGCAGCTTCACCACCAACCATGTGCCCCCTCCACGGCCAGCCCCGGCCCCTCGGTTTGACATGATGATGCCCCCCACGCTGGGTGAGCAGAGGCCAGATGTGGGGAAGACGGTGCATGGGACTTGCTCGGGGTTGGTCATGATATATAATCACTTTCCCCACATCAGCCCTGCACTTGGTGCCCACTAGCCCCCATTTCCTTGTCTAGGAAGCAGAGCCATTAGCCTCTCCTCGGTCTAGTGGCAACAGGGTGTGTGATGGGCGAGTCCAGCTTTCTCCATTGTTAAGCGTCTGGCGTCTTTGGGCGTCTGCCGTGACTCATGGTGTTGATGATTCTCTCCTGCCCACCCCCTTGGCCTCCCATTCGCCTCTCCCCAGGATGCCCAGGTTCTGCAGAAGAGTTATCCCAGCCCGAGGTGCTGGGCATATCCAACGGCTCCCTGCCCCAGACCCCTGAGCAGGAGAAGTTCCTCCGCCACCACTTCGAGACGCTTACTGACGCTCACCCCGAGGGTAGGGCCCTGCCCGGGCAGGCCTTCCAGTGCTGGGCACACCGTGGGTGTCTCGGGTAGGGCTTCCCTGCAGAGCTGGCAGGGGTGGTAAGAGGGCTTGCGTTTTCTCTCAAGGACTGAGCCGTGCAGGCTCTTCTCCCTGCTGTGTTTGCTCCCCCAGGCATGTGGGTGGTCTATTGATGGCGTTTCTGGGGATCCACCTGCTGGTCTGCGGGCCTTCCTGGGCCCAGGGCTGAGTGGCTGGAGGGATTCTGAAGACTCCTTTGGCATCTTCCCCTAGAGCTCTTCCATGGATCCCTGAGAGACTTGGAGGCCCCTGAGGCTGAGGACTTCTTCAATCCCCGGCTGAGCATTTCAGCCCAGTTCCTCTCACGCCTCCAGAAGACATCCAGGTAGAAGCTGGTGAACCCCCACCCTGCCCCCATCTCTCTATCCCCCCCCGGGGGGGGCTGTGTCCCCTCAGGGACCCCCAGGACAGCCACAACCGCCTGGTTTCCTTCCCACAGGTTCACCCACAGCTTCCCTCCCCGGCTGCCCCTGCACCTGGTGAAGTCCCCAGAGGTCAAATTCCCGGAGCTTGGGGGCAGCCAGTCCAGAGCAGAGCCCCTGAGAGCAGGCCCTGGCTACACGTCCCCAGGCAGGACCAACGTGAGTACTGGGGCCACCTCCCTCCGGACTTAGGGCTGCGAGCCTGGAGGCCTTGTCCTCACCGCATGCTGTGCTTGTAGGTCCTCGCTGGGAAAAAGGCTGAGGAGCCCCTTGAGACCCCGGAAGCCTGGCGCCCACTGAGTGAGTGCCCCCATCCGCAGACAAACAGCCCTGGGCTTCTCAGCAAACGGTCCTGGATGCCCATCCGAACCATGGGGCAGTGGGGATGGGCAGGGTCCACTCAGGCCCGAAAGCCACCTGGGGTGGGCCCCTCTCCCTCGGCTCTGCGGCTGGGGTGTGAGACTGAGCCAACTTCTTCCTTTACAGCCCCCCGCCTCTCCGGCCTGGTGCCCTATGCCCCCTCCTCAGTGCTGCCCACTGACAGGAAGCCTCCGACGCCCACGGCCCTACCCACTCCACGCCTGCCTCAGGCTGTCCACGGCCCCTCCACCCACCCCTACATGGAGGCCACTGCCAGCTCCCAGGCCAAGATGTCACGCAGCACCTCCCCCGAGGACAGTGAGGACCCTGTGCTGGCTGAGCTGGCCAGGCCCCTCCACAGGCCCTCCTCCCCGGCGGAGATGGCATCCCTGGGCCAGGAGCTCCAGGCCATCCCCACCACGGCAGCACCCAGCTCTAACAGCGAGGGCCGAGAACCTGCCTTGTCCTCCTGGGGCAACCACGAGGCCCGGGCCAGCCTGAAGCTGACCCTGTCGAGCATCTCTGACAGGCTCTTGCTGCCCCCTCCCCCGTTGGAACCTGCAGCCACCCAGCCCAGTGTCACCGTCACAACAGCCACCTTCCCAGTCCCCAGCCCCATGGATGCAAGCTCCCTGAGGCTCCACAATTCCACCTTTCTCCCAAGGCTCCTGGCCCCCGAGCCCCTCAAAGCCCCTGCCCACCCCAGCAGTGCCCTACTTCCAGAGGCCAGGCCTGGGGTTCCTGGCAGCGTCACCTCTCTCCTGGAGCCCACCCCTGGTAAGTACCACTCTTGGGGCAAGGGATTGTACCCCGAGCTCATCCCATGTACAGCTGGCTTAGCTCTGAAGGTGGGCACTTGACCCCGCTCAGGGGTTGCGCCATTCATTTGTTCGTTCGTTCGTTCTTTCACTTAGATATTTAGTAAGCACTTCATATGTGTTGGGCTTTGTTCTAGACCCTGGGCACATGGGGCTTGGTGGTCAACAAGACTACAAAGAATGGGCACCCTCACTGGGGAGATGGCCAGACTAAATGTAAAGCAAAGTGTTAAGAGTATCCTGAAGGAGTATGTGCTAAGGACAGAAATAAAAGGGTTTAGGGAGTGAGAAGGGGGGGGACAGTGGCTAGAGTTTTCAGCCAGATAATGAGAAAAGGCTTCAAGGAGAAGGGGGCATTTGAGCAGAGCGGGAGGGAAGTGAGCCTTAGGGGACTGAGGGAAGCATCCCAGGCAGAGGGATCAGCCCAGCCACCCCAGCCTCTCTTAGACCAGTTAGAAAGTGGAGGTGTCTTTCTCATTCCCTCCCCTCTCACCCCAGATGCGCTCAGTCTGGTCCAGGGCAGCCCTGGACACTGGGAGGAGCCTGGGGTGCCGGCCAGGGTCCTGCCCCCAGCTCCCCGTGAACTGAGCACTGTCGTGCACAGACTTCAGACCACCTTCCAAGAAGCCCTGGACCTTTACCGCCTGGTGAGCCCAGCCCCGGGGCCAGGGGAGAGGGCTGGGTGGCTCCCCGGGACTGCCGGGGCTGGGTGGCCCCTGACAAGGTTTGTACCCCTTGCAGATGGTCTCCAGCGACCAGGTGAGCACTGAGCAGCAGTGGCAGGCACGGACTGAGCTGGCCTCCACCTTTCTTTGGATCCATAACCAGTTAGAGGCCAATGACTGGCTGGTTGGGACTGACGTGGCCCAGGCCCAGGGCAGCCCGGGTTCCCCCTCCCCGACTACACTGTGCCCCCTGGCCAGCCCAGATTTGCATGCCCTGCTGGAACACTACTCGGAGCTGCTGGTGCAGGCCGTGCAGAGGAAGGTGCGGGGGGACTGAGGGCCAGCAGCCTCCTCTCCACGCCAGCCCTGCTGTTTCTGAAGAGATCGGTGTCTTAAGCAAATAAACTGACAGCTTAGAGGAATGGTTCCTGGTGCCTGTCGGGGCGTATGCACGAAGCTCCCTCAGGTGGATGTGGGGAAGGAGGGTAGGGTGGACAGCAGTGTTGTGTTGGACCAGCCCGGGGAACGTGGGTGGATGAACTTTGCAAGGGATGAAATTTGTATGCAGCAGGTTTTGGCCACGTAGCATTGTACCCTCACCTGCTCTTCCTCTTCCTGTCTCACCTGGGGGACATCAGCCCCAGCGCAGGACTCCGTCAATGGGACCAACATTCCCAAGAAATTAGGGAACTGCAATAATGATGATCCCAACACCTGGATGCCATGTCGTCCATCCCCCCTGAGCTGCTATGGGGTCAGTTGGGGTCCTGGCCCAGTGGGGCCCAGCTGTTCCCCAAGGAGGGGCCAGCCCTTCCTCCCTGCCCCCTTACTGGTGCCCAAGAACCCACTGGAGCCACTGCCATCACCATGTGCCAGACCCTGGCTCCCAGGACACACACTGCCACCCCACTGGTTCGGGGCCCCCAGGCCAAGCCCAGGTTGGATCCTATGAGGTCCAGGCTTTTGTCCCCACCTACAGCAGGGGAAATTGAGGAGAGACCAGCAACTCAGTGACTGGACAATCGGGCAGCATGCCCAGGCCATCCAGCAGCTGGGACAAGTAATTCTCTCCCCAGCAGGAAGATTCTATCCAGATTCATCCCATGAGCTCCCAGCTGTGGTAGCAGCTTCCCCAGGCAGCTGGCATCTAGCCATGTGGCAGGTCTGCCAAGAAGGCCACTCTTGTGACCACAAAAGCCCCCACTGTCCCAATTCTCTATGAAAAGGAAGCCGGCAAGGGAGGGCCCTCCCCTGAACCACAGCCCCACCGTGCGGCTTGCTGTGGCCTCAACCACCACTTGCCTGAGTCCCTCTCTGCTCCGTCGGATGGTCACGGCCCACCGTAAACAAGCCCAGAGAGATCCAGCCTTGCTCCGGATCCCACACAGCTGGGACTCAAACCCAGGCTTGCCTCGTGGCAGAGCCAGACCATTCAGCATAAGGCCATGGCCCTCTGCTGTCTCTCGAAACACTAACGCACATCACAACCAATGGTGCTGTTCAAAAAGTCCTGCGGGGTTCCTGTCTGTCGTACACGCTGGGGGTAGTGGGAGGAACAAGACCAGCAAAGCATCTGCCCTCGTGGCATTAGCCTTCTAGAGAGCAAAACAGGAACTGAAGCAGTATCTGTGGAACTGTAGGTAAGCTAGGGGAGTTCATTGTGCTGGTTGATGAGCCAGGGAAGGCCTTTCCGGGGTGACATTTGAGCTGAGGCCGGAGAGAAGGCACAGGCCATGTGGACATCTTGGGAAGATATCCGGGCAGACAGAGCAGCCAGTGCGAACACCCCGCTGGGGGGATCAAACATCTATGGAAGGAATGGAGTGAGCTAGAAGAAAGGGTAAGAGAGGAGATGGGAGGAAGAATGGGGTTCAAGGGGGCAGGGCCTTGTTGCTTCATGACATTTAAATCCAAGAAATATTCACAACACAATTTTCCCCCCTAAATAAGATGCCTGATCTTGGTAGCTAAGGAGATGCCCAGTATTGTTTATTTCTCAGAGGCTCTGCCCCTGCCCTGCCCCACAGGTTACAGACCCCTGGGGACCCTCTCTCCTTGCCCCTGCCTTGCCTGGCCACCAAAGATCCTTGAGGCAAGGCTTGGCATCCAGGCCCCTGAATACCCAGAGGACCATCTTGAGCCTTTCCCTAGTGGAATGTACCCCTCCTCCCACCCTGTATCATAATTAAGCCTTCAGGGGCGCCTGGGTGGCTCAGTCGGTTAAGCGTCTGCCTTTGGCTCAGGTCATGATCTCGGGGTCCTGGGATGGAGTCCCACGTTGGGCTCCCCGCTCAGTGGGGAGTCTGCTTCTCCCTCTGCCCCTAACCCTGCTTCTGCTCCCTCTCTCTCAAATAAACTTTAAAAAGTCTTCAACGCACAAGTAGCAAATGGCTGGCTTGTGGGGGCCCACGCTGCAGGGACATTTATTACTCTTGATTATGTTCCTGGCCCCGTTACCTTCTGAGGCTGAGTTCCACCCCCCAGCTTAGGCCCTCAGAGCTGCAACATGGCTGTATGCTCTCAGCTAACCAGGAGCAAAGGCCCGAAGGAGGGCAGCTGCCAGGGTAGTAAGAAAGGTGCTCAGCCTTCCTAGACGCTTCTTTCAGAGCGGTTGTAGGCAAGAATGGAGATGGCTTTGATTCACTTGGACCAACCATCTTTCCTGTCCTGACCATATCGCTGTTCAAACAAAATTGGGTTCTCTCAGCACAAGAGGGTGGGCTGGTAGAGAGGACCCAGTGTGTCTGCCACTCTCCACTTCTTAATGCTAAGCTCTTCTGCCCTGGAAAGACCAGAATCTCTCCTCCGACAAACTGGCTGGTTAAGAAACCACTGCTGATGAATGTGTGCGCATGCGGTTTGTGGACCCACAGGGCCCTAGCAGGAAGAGGACAGAATGCTCACACAGGATGTTTCAAAGAGAGTTCAGTGAAGGGATCTTTTACAAAGAAGTGGGCAGGGGATAGGGAAATCCTAAGGCCTGTACGGTATCCTGGACTGGTCCCAGAGAAGAGCTGTTACTCCCACCCTAGCCTTGAGCTATAGATACAAGGGAGCAAAGTGGGACCCAGAAGAGCCAATCCTGGAGAGAGGGCTGCCGTGAGGGGAGCTGTGTGCCTGGCAACTTCATAGGGAGAGAGTTGGAGAAATCCTCTCCCCCATCTTCTGTGGGGCTCCCCATTGTCGAAATCCTATTGGGAGCGAGGGGGTATGGGAGGAGTGGGACAGAAAGGGTATGGGGACAAAGACACCCAGCCCTGAATTTCTTCCCTAATGTGTTTTCAGTAACACAGGAACCACTTGCCCCAAGAGACATGGTGCTGGGCAGGGAGAACTGGGCACGGGGAAAGAGGCAAGATGGCTCCCCCTAACCATTTGCCAGCTCATTCTTCAGTGCAACTTCCGCCCTGTACTCCCCCGCTGGACCGATCCTAGATACTGGGCTGCCAGACCTGTGCTGCACACACCAGTCACAGGTGCATGAAATCCAACAATTGTGAGATGGAGACACTTAAAACACTTTTTAAAGAACTTTATTTTTTAAAGATTTTATTTGCTAGAGAGAGAGAGTGAGCGCACAAGCTAGGGGAGTGGCAGGCAGAGGAAGAAGCAGGCTCCCTGCTGAGCAAGGAGCCCAATGTGGGGCTCGATCCCAGGACCCTGGGATCATTACCTGAGCCAAAGACAGATGCTTAACTGACTGAGCCACCCAGGTGTCCTGACACTTACCACTTACAGATGGACTGACTGAAACTCACATGCTTGCCTAGCCACCCCTCAAGACTTCCTAACAACCACCCTGTTTATATGCTGCATGCTAAGCGCTCTCCCCACATGATCTACATGGATCTTTGACACAAACCAGTGATAGGGAGACACATTAGTCCCATTTTCCAGATGAAGAAACTGAGGCTAAGCAAGAAGTGACTTGCCTGGGTTCTGCAGAGATAAAGTGGCAAAGCTCTGGGCTAACAGACTCTCAGTCCCGCCTCCCTTGCTGCCCCAAATGAATCAGCAGGACTGACTCTCAGGGAGTGTGAAGAAATGAAGAAATAATGCTTCTCTCACCACCAAGCCTTTGTGTAGACTGTTCCCTCTGCCTGGAACACCCTCCCCTTTCACCTGAAACCTCATCTTCCTTCAGGGCTACACCCAGCAGTCATCTCTGAACCTTTAGGCTGGATCAGGAGCCTCTTCTGGGCTCCTTTGAGCCCCCTGGGTTTTCTCTGTTGCAGTTGGGATCACTTTGCCTGTGCATCCCCCATCATAGCTTTGGTCATTCTGCACTGTTACTGGCGTGTCTCCCTCATGGGCTAAGTTATATGTTCATTTTTAGTGCTGAGCTAGGCCTGGCCCATAGTTGGAGCTCAGGAAGTCGCTGACTGGATAAATGAGAGGAAGTAACTGCACAGAGAATATTCAAAATCCTTAACCAGGGGTTAAGAGGTCAGACAATGATCAATCTAGAACACAGACTCGCTTGAATGTAGGGGTGGGGTTCTGGGAGCCCCTGGCTGTGTCAGGTGACCCCCTTTGGCTCCTGGACTGTGGGAGAGTGGGGAAGTGGTGTCCCAGGCAATCACTAGGAGCTGGACTATTAACACACCAATATTCTAATACCTGCTACATCTGAACAGTGTTTCTGGCTGAACATCAGCTCTGGGCATCTGAAAATCAGAGAGGTAGAGCTTCCTGTTGGAAGATGCATAGCCTATATCCTCCCCTTGTCCTTCCCTACTGCACTGTGCTGTCTCTCCACCCTCTGGAGCAAGCAATCACAGCCACTCCTCACCCCCGCTTCCTCAGACAGCTGCTGTGATTTGAATAACCAAACAGGCTGTTGGATGTCCGGTTGGTAACTGATTTGCCTGGCAAACAGACCCTCAGGTCCTTAGCCCTGCTACTTTAAGAGGACAGCCTCCCTGCAGTCTTTCCTTTTTCCCACTCCCAGGAGCTGTCTAAGCTTCAATCTTGCCCTTGCTTGGTGTTCTTGGGGGTCCTAGCGCTTGGCTGCCCCTGGTGGCTGGAGAGTGCCCTCAGGAACCTGGTGTAGGAGAAGGGGGAGGAATGGTGGGTCCCGAGGCAAAGGTAACTGGAGCCAGCTAAGTCGGCTCCCTGGGCTGGTCACAAAATTTGCATGGAGAGAATGAGTCTCCTCCAGGGCTCCCCCCTCCCTCCCTTCCCCCTCCAGTCATCCTGGGGCTGAGGTGTGACTGTAGGTGGAAGAAGCAGTCGTCTGTGTGGGGCCATCTCACCATTCCTGGAGGTGATGCCCCGTACCTTCCTGGTCAGGAGTCGGCGTCCACAGCCACCCAACTGGGGCCACCTGCCTGATCAGCTCCGGGGAGATGCCTATGTCCCAGGTGGGCCCCTCACTGGGCCTGGAGGTGAGGGGTAGGTGAGACACAAAGCATCACCGTCTGGCTTCTCTCCTCAGACTGCAGCAACCAGCAGGGCCCTCCAGCACACCAGTCTTCTGGCCTCGGAGACCCTTGGGTAGCGGTAAGTCTGCAGCTGGACCACAAGACCCTGCTCAGTTTCATCCCTGCCCGCTCTCAGCCTCAACATAACCTGACTGCCCCTTACTTCCCAAGCCCATTGCACATGCCCCTCCAGCCTCAGGACCTTTCCACTTATTGTTCTCTCTGCTGGGAATGCCTTTCCTTTCTTAGTAGAGCTCACTGTTCGGCTTCATCCCAGGCACCATTTCCCTAGCGTGGGCAGTCACATTTCCTATCCCAAGATCCCTCTGTCCAGTGGGGCAGAACAAGATTCAAGCCAAGTGGATGGTGATTTCCTTTTTTTTTTTTTAAGGTTTTATTTATTTATTTATTTGACAGAGAGAGACACAGCGAGAGAGGGAACACAAGCAGGGGGAGTAGGAGAGGGAGAAGCAGGCTTCCTGCTGAGCATGGAGCCCGACACAGCCTCAATCTCATGACCCTGGGACCATGACCTGAGCCAAAGGCAGACGCTTAACGACTGAGCCACCCAGGCGCCCCTGGCGATTTGCTTTATGTCAGACCAGAAAAGGTGACAGGAGCAGGATGGGAAGACTGGGGGTTCTCAGAAGGGATATTCAGCTGTGCATGCCCTGGAAGAAGGAAAGCACTAGCCGGAATAGAAATGTGACTGCAATTATTTCAGTATTTGTTCAAAGCCAGGAAGTGTTCTAGGCAATGGATATTTACCAGGAATAAGACAAAAATTCCATCCTTCCTGGAGCTTATAATCTGGTGGGGGCTACAGGGATAGAACAATAAAATTAGAAAAATCTATGTTACGGGGTGCCTGGGTGGCTCAGTCATTACGCGTCTGCCTTCGGCTCAGGTCATGATCCCGGGGTCCTGGGATCGAGCCCTGCATCAGGCTCCCTGCTCCATGGGAGGCCTGCTTCTCCATCTCCCGCTCCCTTTGCTTGTGTTCCTGCTCTCGCTCTCTCTCTCTCTGTCAAATAAATAAATAAAATCTTAAAAAAAAAAAAAAAAGGAAATCGCCATCCACTATGTTACATAACTATGTTACGTTGGAATACCTGCTATGGAGAAATATAAAGCAAGGTAAAGGCAACGGGGAAGGGTCAGGGAAGGCCTTCGCACACACGAACAGCAGCCTTCCCAGCCCTCCTTGGTTCCTGGTTCTAGGTATTCCATTTGCTCTGGCCGGGGGGTCTAACTCCCATGTCCCTCCCACAGCCCATGCAGGGCAGGCTGGCCTCCGCTCCCGGGGGCCCGGGGACACTGGGCTGCCCGCTCTGCCTCAAGGCCTTCCCTCTGCAGCGCATGCTGACGCGACACCTCAAGTGCCACAGCCCCGCGCGCCGACTCGTGTGCCACTGTTGTGGTAAGGGCTTTCACGATGCCTTCGACCTCAAGCGCCACAGGAGGACTCACACCGGTGAGGAGGGGCAGGGGCAGGGCAGGGCGGCTGGGCCCCAGGGAAGTCTGGAATGAAATGGGAGAGAGGTGCCCAGGATGTTCCAGCGTTTGTGTTCATGGGGTGAAGACTCTGCCATCAGGCGGCTTGAACACCTCCTACTTAAGCCCCCAGCCACTGGGTGCTAAGGTGGTGCCAGGGTGGAGGCCTGCTGAGGCGTGCAGCGTGAAGACAGTAGTGGCTACAGGATTCAGGTCCTAGACGGAAGGGTGCAAGGAAAAGCCTCCCTCCTCCTCCTGGGGAAGGAATATCCTGATGAGCAGGTGGGGAACACAGGTGTCTGGCCCACATTTGCACTGGGTGGAGGTAGCACATGGTGGGACACAGGCAGAGTCTGGACACCTCGGAGCAGGAATGCAGGAATGCTCATGGAGGGCAAGGTGGAGAGGCTTTGGTTTGGAGGCCATTGCCCTGTCTGTCCTCCCCCCCTCCCCCCCGCTGCCCTTCTGCACAGGGATCCAGCCATTCCGCTGTGGAGCTTGCGGAAAAGCATTTACACAGCGCTGCTCACTGGAAGCTCATCTTGCCAAGGTGCACAGGCAGCCGGCCGGCTACGCTTATCGTGAGCGCCGTGAGAAGCTGCATGTGTGCGAGGACTGTGGCTTCACCTGCTCGAGGCCGGACGCCTACGTGCAGCACCGCGCCCTACATCGCGCTGCTTGAGAATGTGCATCCCACACAACCCACGGGAGGCAAATAAACGCAGGAAATGCACGCACAAAACACAGAATTTATTACACATAGGAGAGAACAGTTCACTCGGTCCAGCGGTGGCCACAGTGTGGGGCCGTGCACACGTAGTACAAGCGCATGGCGTCCTGCCAGAAAGGGTGCACGGTTAGGAAGGGCCTGCACCCCATGGATGTGTACGACACACCACCTCCATCCAGCAGAGCCGCACCCCAAGATAATAGGCAAAGGGGCCTTCTCCACTGGTAAGGGTCCCCCCCAATACTGGTATCCCTGCCCCCGGGGAGGACCAACCCTGGGACACGCAGAAAGCCTTCCTCCTGTCGCTCACCTCGGCCCGGGCACTATGTGACTGGAAGAACACCGCCTCCTTGTGGCCACACCTGGGAGGACAGTCAGCCACTCAGCCAACCATACCCTTCCCTCCTCCCTTCACCCAGTCAGGACGAGCCACTCTCCATCCCCAATACCAACAGCGCGCTCTCACTTTTGGCACGGGTGGTCCTCGGTCCGCGGCAACGTGGGGTCCTGGGACACGTCAGCGATGATCTGGGTCAGTTCGCTGAGGGAATAGAAGGTGAATAATTATGCCCAGACCAGGCCCTTCACAAGCCAACAACCCCGTCCCCCGGCTCTAGTGCTGCCACTCACTCCACTTCGTGCGTGATCTTGTTGACGTAGATGCAGCTGTTGTCGGCTTCCTGCTGGTAATCACAATTCCGGCACTACGAGAGGGCGAGTGTGGCGGGGAGGGGGTCATGGAGAGATCCGGGAAGCGACTGGAAGGGAAGGCTGGGTCTTCCCCGGAGGGAATGACTAGAGCATGGAGTCTCGAAGTTGGGATAACGGGGTATATTGAGAATCACTTCGGGGATGGGCAAGACAAGAGAGTAGGGTTCACTCGGGGGATAGGAGGCGAGACCAAAAGGCGTAGGAGGCGTAAAAAGGAGTAAGGGTCACGTGGAGTAGGTTGGGGGCACACTGGGAACAGGTGGACCGTTCTGGGAAGACCCGGGCACTCCGCAGACTCGTGCTCACCGCGTAGAGCAGAATGCGGTTCTCCTTGTCCTCCTTGGGGTAAAGCATGTTGTTACTGTGGGAGGGAGAAGTCAGAGGTCAGTCCTGGGGCCATTACTTGCTTCCCTTACACACTCGCAGGCCCAGGCTCACCATTCCTGGCAGAATCGAATACCCACGAAACCCGGCTCGTAGGTACCGTCTGGTTCCATAGCTACGCACTGCCCGCCAAGCAAGCCTTCCGCACTTGCTCCGCCGCGCGACCGGTCGCGGGAAGGGTCAAGCCTAGTTGCTTCGCCAAGGGAGGGGCGGAGCTACGAACACATACTGTCCCCCTGGGCTTTGTGCTTGGCTCTGCGCCGAGGTTCGATTAGTAACTTGCTTCAGTTTTTTTGATATCCTGCGGTAATTGGCTCCAACTTCTGAGCCTCGCTTCCCCCGTTTGTAGAATAGCATGGTACGAGAGCCAGGAATACGATGCTTTACGTAATATGCAAGGCCGGGAGCATAAATGAAGCTCTTGCTTTTTGCTGGCTGCACATGCGCGGACGAGGTAACTCTTGCCAGTCCTTCCTGTGGGCTTCAGCCTTCGCTCGCCCGGGCAGTTTCCCGGGCGGCTATTGGAAGAACTAGGCACCATGGAAGACCTCTCAGGATTGGCTGGGCCTACCCACGAGTACGGGAGAGCCCGCTTCCTGGCGTGGAAAAGAGACGGCGACGATTGGCGGACCCTGTTTGCGGGAGAGCATGGATTGGCCAGGTCGGGAGCAGAGGGAGGGGCTGATATCCCAGAAGCGGCGGCGGCGGCTGCGGAGCTGGTGTGAGGCGACTGACCGGGCTGCGGACCCCGGCAGGGTGTGGCGAGATGGAGGTGACGGGCTTGTCGGCGCCCACAGTGACCGTTTTCATCAGCAGCTCTCTCAACAGCTTCCGCTCTGAAAAGCGGTACAGTCGCAGCCTCACCATCGCTGAGTTCAAGGTGTGGCCGTGGGGGCGGGGTCCGGAGGGCGGGGCGTAGGGTTTGAGGGGGCGGGGCAAAGGAGAAATGGAGGGGCTTCCCGAACGCGGGGAGGGGCGGGGATCAACCGAGGTTGAACAGATTGGGGACTGGGCCTCGGAGGGGAGGGGCTCGAGGGAACCTGAGGTTCCAGAAATTGGGGGCGAAGCCAGGGGAAATCACAGGTTGCATAGGGCGTGGCCAGGGATAACCAGGTGGGTCCTAAATGGTGGGTTTCTTGGAGGAGCAAGGATGGGATGATGGTTGTTACAAGGGGTGGAGCTTAGGGGCGCCTGGCTGGCTCCCCTGGTAGAGCTTGCGATTCTTGATCTCCGTTCGTGAGTTCGAGTACCGCGTTGGGCGTAGGGTTTACTTTAAAAAATATAAAAATATATAAATTTGCAAGTACATACCTTAAAAAAAGAAAACAAGGGGTGGAGCCTCAGGGCAGAGGGTGGGGCCGCTAACAGCCTTCCACCGGCTGCTCCCTGCGCAGTGTAAACTAGAGCTGGTGGTGGGCAGTCCTGCTTCTTGCATGGAACTGGAGCTGTATGGACCTGACGACAAGTTCTACAGCAAGCTGGATCAGGAGGATGCACTGCTGGGCTCGTACCCCGTAGACGACGGCTGCCGCATCCACGTGAGACGTCCCCTCCATTCATTTATTTATTGAACAAATACTTGCTGTACGTTGTTCTGTGTGATAACCAAGATAGGCCCTCCTCTCATGGGCCCCCAGTTCAGCAGGGAGAGAGACAGAGCCATCACTGGACAGTGACAGCCAGAGTAGTCTGAACTGGGCTGGGAAAAGCCCAGGGAATTGGGGGCCCTCAGAGAGGTACCTGACTCCTGGAAGTATCAGAAGAGGCTTCCTGAGGGGTGGGATGCCTGAGCTGAGACCCAAAGGATGAGGAAAGGGCAACTTACGATGAGGAGTAGGAGGAGCATGCCAGGTGGAGGGAACAGGGTACAGAGGCATAGTTTGAGGTGGGTCAGGGTGAGTGATGAGACTTGGATGCGTTGGGAGAAGTTGGAACACAGAGGACCTCTGCATGCATCAACTCACATCATCCTCTCTGTTCCCCGCCCCGCCCCCCGCGCCCCTTACTCTTCAGATAGCCCAGCATCCCAGGTGACCTCCACCTCAGGGCTTTTGCAAGTGCTATATACCCTAAGCCTGCATGGTTCTTTTTTATATGGCTTCACATGGCTCACTCCACCCTTCCTCACACACTTGGAGGGTGTGAAGCCTTCACTGACCTCAGTATAAAATTTAAATCTCCTCTCTTTGCCACTTTACTTGGTTTTTGTCCTTAGCTCCTACCACCCAGTGACATACTGTGCATTTCCCCCAGCACCTGGAATGATGCCTAGTACAGAGAAGATGCTCAGTGAATCATTGTTGGATACTGACCTGAATCCGTAAAATAAGACTTGGAAGATGGTGTGATTAACCCCATTTTGCACAAGATAAAACTTAGCTTCAGGATGGAATTTATTTTCCTAAGGATGAACTATAGTTAGAATTTTCGCCTCAATCTGCATGACTCTGGAAGTCACTGTGCTCAGAGAACTGGTTCTTTGTTACCTCTTAAGTGTTCATTGAGCATCCGTGTTATGCCGGAGCTATAGCTGTGAGCCACGTGTGACGAGGTCTCTGTTTTAGCTCTGTCCAGTGTGCGAGGTAGATGTTAGCTAAACATTCACAGGAACAAATATGAAATGTCAGAGACATGAGAGCCATATAGGAAGAGCTCACAGAGCTGGGAGAGCTGATACTGGGGGAACCTGACCTATCAGTGAGGTCTGGGAGGACTTCCTGGAAGAGGTGATGCCTGAGCAGAGACCTGGAAAATAGGAAGAGTTAACTGAGGAAAGGAAAAGAATACTCCAGGAGAAGGGCATAGCATGTGCAGACACTGAGGTGGAAGGGAGCACAGTTAAGTACAAGGACTGAGGAGTGGCCTCTCCTCTGGTGGACAGAAGTGGGAGCCAGGGGAGGCCTCTGAGCCAGGAGAGTCCTGGTCTGGCTCAGGTGTTCACAGGCTCCCTTTGACTGTGTGTGGGGAGCAGACTGCAGAAGACCAGAGGAGTTGGGAGACCAGGGAGGCGGCTTCTTCCATAGTCCAGGTGGTGCAGTGGGGCCTGGATCATAGTGGGCGTGGGTCAGGATAGTGCTGGGCCCCCAGGACTGAGACTTCGGGCTGACAAGTGGGCAGCCTCAGCCCCGGATGCTGGTGGGCCCGGCACGGGTCATGGCATCCTCAAACAGGAGGTTTTCACACATGGATTCAGGTGTAGACAGGCCTCTCACTCCTCAGGTCAGTTGAGGGTTTCCTAGAGGTGGAACCTCTGGGGAATTTTTTTTTGTTTTAAATTCTTTTCCTGTTTATAAATATTCCCTGTATTTGAAGCGCCTGACTGGCTCAGTCAGTAGAACATGTGACTCTTGCTCTCAGGGTCGTGAGTTCAAGCCCCATGTTAGGCACAGAGATTACTTAAAAATTTTTAAGTATGTATATAAAATATATTAACCTATATTTGTTGCCTTAAATAATAGCCACCTCAAATTTACAAGATCCTTAATGCAGAAAGTAGAAATTCTTAGTGATCCTGGCCAGAGAAAAGGGCCGTTTCTGTTTTGCTGTGTTAGCCCAGTGGCTCAGGCCAAACACCTAAGGGTCTTTGCTGACCCCTGTCTTTCCCTCTCATCTGTATCCAGTCTGTCTGCAAACCCTGTGGACTCCACCTCCGGAATCTATCTGGAGTCTACGCTCTTCTCCCCCACTGCGCCTGCCCTGTCCCAACCTCCATCTCACTCCTGGACTCCACAGCAGCCCTTCCTGGGGGAGGGGGGGGCCTGCAGTCTGCTCCCCACCTGTAGCCAGAAGGAGGCTGTGAGGCCCTGAGTCAGGTCAGGGTGCTCCTGGCTCAGAGCCTCCCTGGCTGCAGCTCAGTC